TCGTTTATATAAAGGTAATGCAATGTTAAAAAGTAGTTACAAAGGACAACGTTCTCGTATATGTTGCAAAAAAATCTGCCAATTTGTCATAGGAGTCTTCATAGTTATGCTAAACCAAGCTCTGTACATAAGCTCATCGAGATAACTGTATATCACTGCATTTCTTGATCCATTCACAGATCTGATCCGCTTTTTGAAGTGACTCCAAAAGTTTTTGATGGAATTAGTGTGAGTTCTATCGAAAGGATTGATGAACTCATTTGTATGATTGACGATGTGATGAATATAGCCCAGGGTTGATAGCTGACTATAACTACTCCATTCATCTGTATGAAAGGTCGTCCCAGGCATCACTAAGCGTCTAGTAATAGGCAATAATACACCTGCACTGCGATTAGGGATCGCCTCAATATATCCTTTCTGGAGGCTGGTGTCATATATCCCCAATACCTATTTCTGATTCACACTCAATCTCCCTCGATTATATTCTCTTTTTATCAAAAGTGCCTAAGGAATCTGTAAATAAAAAACGAATGACATACGTTCTCGAACTGATTTTCTGGTTCGGCACTCATTTCACCAATCAATTCACCTATTGTATCTTTGCATATGAATGACACCTCCACATTGGCAATTTCTCGACATTCCTATCAGTCCGTTCTCCAAACAGTAATCAAAAACAAGATTTGGAGCGAATTTGCAACGCAAAAGGTATAAAGCACCCATAAATATATGTCTGGAAAATACGGAGCCACCTGATTGGTTGCTCAAGGTCATTTATCCATTCTCTAAATAGTTTCGGTTTGGGCTGCTTTTCTTTAGAGTTGCCCACTGCTATTACTATTATTATTATTTCGAATCACTGGAAAACATATGAGGACTTCTACACTCAGTCTAAAAATAGGTGAGCTTGAGCAGAACTTTAGGGAGCTGCATACCTGTGCATGTATCTGTGTGTGTATGTGTCGGAAGAATGTTCTTGTATGCCTACAACTTTAGCGGTTCCAGTGATTTCACTTACGTACTAAGTATAAGTGCCATTACCCCTAAATCACCATTATTATTATTATTATTGCTTTGTACATTTATTCTCTCTTATGAATTTGAATAAAGCAAGAACAACAGTGGTTTGTGCAGAATAATATGGTATCATCATTGCTTATTTCGTTGGCTTCTCATCAGCTCAGCTGCTTGCTTACAGCCTAAAGAAATTATCATTAAGTTTATGAACAGAAAAGTTTCAAAATACGTGCAAATTTTTCATGATATCAGTTGACAGAAGGCTCAAAAAATTGCGCTTATATAATTCTTACACAGGCAGTACAAGTTTAAACAAAATCCGCGTATGCATAGAATGGTAAGGGAGTTACGTAATAAAGACGAGAGATGAGTAAGACGCTGAGTGACTAATAATAATAATAATATTATTATTGTTCCCTTGGGTTCCTAGTGGAACATAGGGCTTCAACTGCACGTCTCCACTTGCTTCTGTCTTCTGCTGTTCTTTTCACTTGCGTCCATGTTATTCCATACTGTTTCATCTCCTCCTCACACGATCTCCTCCATGTCACCCTTGGACGTCCCACTCGCCGCTTCCCTTTCGGCTTCCACTCGAGCAATGGCCTGACGCGCGATGTCACTCAACGGCCTCCTCAGCGAGTGTCCAATCCATCTCCACTTTCTCCTGCATATTTGTTGAGCGATTGGTTCCTGTTTCGTTTGTTCCCATAGCTTCTTGTTTGTGATTCTTTCTGGCCATCTAATCTTCAGTATGGAGCGAAGACAGTTTTTGATAAAGGTCTGCAACCTGTTGAAAATATTCTTGGTGACCCGCCAAGTTTCTGATCCGTAAAGCAAAATTGACTTGACGTTTGTATTGAAAATCCGAATCATTTTGTTGTTAATGCAGGCTGAGTGACAGCGGAAGATTTCCAGATTGGTTTCAGGTTGATGAATGTGTTTCTCGCCTTCCCGATTCTCGATTTGACATCCTCGTCCGTTCCTCCTGTGGTTGAGACAATGCTCCCCAGATAAGTGAAAGAAGTAACCTCTTTCAAATCCCTCCCGTTGATGGTGATTGGCACTGGATGTTGCTGCTGTTGTTGGTTGGTTATTTTCATAACCTCCGTCTTGTCTATGTTCACCTGGAGTCCTGTGTTTGCTGCTTCTTCGACCAGTTTGTCGGTTTTGGCTTGTAAGTCTTCGATTTTGTGTGACATCAAACATAAATCATCCACGCGCGAAATCCAGGTCTTCTAGATTCTTCACGTTGGTCAGGACAGGATATCCCTGTCTTCTCGTTTCCATGCACTGTCTGACGCATAATCCAGTCCACCACAATTAGGAATATCATTGGTGATAATAAGCACCCTTGTCTGACTCCTGTGTTTACTCCAAACGCCTCGCTGAGTTTTCCGTTGTGGATCACTTGACATGTTCCGTTGTCGTACAGTTGTTGAATAAGGTTGATGAATATTTGGGGTACGCCGTAGTACTTGAGTAGTTTCCAAATTACTTCGCGGTCAACGCTGTCGAAGGCCTTCTCAAAGTCTATGAAGTTGAGGTAGAGATTTGATTGCCATTCCATGCTTTGTTCGATGATAATGCGTAGAGTTGCAATTTGGTCAGAACATGATTTGCCTTTCCTGAATCCAGCTTGTTCTGGTCGGAGTTCTGTATCCAGTGCGTCCTTGATTCTCTCCAGGATGATGCGACTCAGGATTTTACTTGGCGTCGACAGGAGCATGATTCCTCGCCAGTTCTTGCAGAGTCCCAGGTCGCCCTTCTTTGGTAGTTTCACCAGGTAACCTTTCCTCCAGTCAGTAGGCACCTTTCCCTCTTTCCAGATCTTTTGCAATAATGGAGTCAGCATATCTGCCGTCGTTTCTGGGTCCGCTTTCAGTGCTTCCGGGGGTATTCCATCTGGTCCAGCTGCTTTTCCAGCTTTCAGAAGCTTGATTGCATTCATGACTTCAGTTTTCGTTGGAGGATTGGTGTCAACTTGCAGTTGTGTACGTGCTGTTGTTGGTATTACTGGACGGGTTGTAGGTGGTGGTCGGTTCAAGAGTCCTTTGAAGTGGTCCGCCCATTGTTTAATCTGTCTTTCTTCTTTGGTAATTGGGTTCCCTTGGCTGTCTTTTATAGGTTTCACTTGTGTTGATCTCTTCCCGGATAGAGACTTGGTTATCTGATATAGTGTCCTCAGGTCCCTTTTGCCTGCTGCCTTCTCAGCTTCAGTAGCCAGGTTGTCGTAGAATTGTCTTTTGTCCTTCCTGGCACTCTTCTTCACTTCTTTGTCCAGTGCTGTGTAAGTTGAGTTCAGCGTCTCTTTCTCTAATAATAATAATAAATTGGGTAACAATGTACTGAGTTCAACTCAAATCATGGAAACAAGAGACAAGCAAAATTACATTATGTCAAAGGGGTGAGGTTAAAGCCAAAGACAACTTAATCAACTGAAAGACAGAGAGACAGTGAAGACGTTCAGGTACCAGGCCGGGCAAGAAAAGACTGATGCTAACTGCTTCTTTTTGAACACACACATAAATTGGGTTTCAGGACTCTGATAGAGATTGCTTCGATAAACTTGAGGGGAAGCGAACCTTTTTGTCTATTGATAACTTTAAAGGATTTTGCATTTTCAAATTCATGATCCGTATCAGAGAGATGCGCGATAACGGCACTATTGTAAGTGCTCTTTCCCCGCTGGAGACATAGGCTTTTCGGTGCATGTTCACAAAATTGGATGTGTGCCCTTCTTTCTGTGCTGTCAATGTAACTGTTCTCGCAGATACACGTAAATTTGTATACACAGTTGGAGTTAACATGAGAGAAGGGTATCTGTTGACTTTTGACTGCACCAAAGAGCATGTTGTCTGACAGACGGGAACCAACTTAGCTGCAGGATAAACTCTGGCTGGTCACTTACCCAATCTTTTGCTGACCATTGTTGCAATATTGGCTTTTTTCCCACTGTGATTTGTCCGACATTTGAGCCTTCACGTCCTCCACGCTTACTAATAAATCCCTGAGGGTAACCATTGTTTTTCTACACCTTATCGAGAATCATTTTTCTATACATAAACTTAGTACTTTATTTAAGCTGCAAGCAGATGACGAGAAGCCTGCACAAACCAATATTGCTTTTTTGATCAGTGTATAAACAAAACCGTCAGAGAACACAAACAGACACAAACCGGCACCAATTAGACTCAGGATAAAATAATAAACGTGAAACTAGATTATTATTTCTTCCGGATCAAATTCGCAATTCTCAAATTACACAATTAGAGGTGGGATTTTGGTATAGTTCCCCTTTGAAATGTAAATCAATCAGATGGTAATATGTCCTCTGCTTCATAGCATGAATGGCAATTAAAAAGGCAAACGAAAACACTTGATGCAACTGGAAACAAATGACGTCGACCAGTAGTACTCGCTAGCCAGACGGAAGTGGTCTCAACCCCATCTGGCCATTTCCGCAGTTTGGTACTGAGCTTACCAGCTTTGTATCTGGATTAATGTATCTCAAAGAACTGGATAAATTCAAACCACGTGAAGTTTAGCTAACCACTTGGGCTAACTTTCAATGAGTAAAACTAAGTCCTCTAGCCTGAAATCAAACCTGGCACACCAAGGAGGGGACTAAAACGGCAGTCGAGTGTCTATAGATCACTTCCATCTGGTCAACATGAGCAGCATCCAATCACTTTTAGAAATCAACCAGTCTCACCTATCATCTTGCGACTGGTTACATAAATTGATTTACAGTAGAAAAATCTATGGATACCGGTTAATTTTCGCAATGCATTTTTACATACTCACAAGTAGTATAAAATCAAAAGACAAAATTGCTGAGGAAAGGATTAGTGTTTGCGAAATTAAAATGTGCATATTATAGTGTGTCCAAGCATGTTATAATTGATAATAATAGCATTAATAATGATAAAGGGTCTAGTGAAGTCATACTTTCTGTACAAGCTCTGATTCAGTCCTCCTCTTCATCGATTTGCTTTAAACCATTGTAATAGTTCACTGATCATTTTATAACCATTACGAAAATCATTGCCATATAAAGATTTCTCATCATTTTGTGGCCTGGCAATGGGACAGCCATTTGGTTCCAGTGTATCATGACAAAATGTGGATGAGCTGAGGTTGAAATCATGCTGCTTAGATGATAATTCACGTTTGCTTAAATCTTCATTACGTAATATTGTCGTCATTTGACGTTTCCACTTAGTTCTAGAATATTATAGCATAAAAATAATTTGTATTAAATTAAAACTGGTTGGTAAATTAAGTGAAAATACAGTATGAAAATATGCAGATAATTAAGAAAGTCATCAGTGGTGTAAATATTGAATGTGACTCACTACATGGACTAATTGACAGTCAGGTAATTCGAAGTTTTCGGCCTTCTCTCTATATATGTGCTTATTTTATTATTATTATTATTCCTTTGGGTTCCGAGTGGAACATAGGGCTTCAACAATACATCTCCTACAATTCGTTAATTCTCGCATTCTGCCTATTATTCTCTATTGTTCCCCCTTAGTTTTTCCCGGGCTATTGAAGAAAGACTATACCTCATTACGCGGGATGTTAAAGGTTGTCAGCAGGGTAAGCAACGTGCCACTTAACCAGCTTGTTAATATTCTGGTCGACAGGCACATGGACTCATGTGAAAAATGGGCCAAATCCATTTTATCTTACTCACACCACCCTCTTCACTCACAACTCTTCCCTTGTATCTCATCAGGCAGGATCGGAAGCCTATATAGAAAACTATATGCTCGCACCAACAAGTACAAAAACTCAACCATACCCTACTTAGCTTGTGTTCTGTGCGATAAAGAAAGCATTAGGCGTGATTCCTATAACTTGTTAAATAGTCAGTAGAACAACAGCATCTCGTCTTCCCAACTCATATCATTTATAGGTACAACATTTTCCTTCTTTCTTTTCCTTTTCTCTCTCTCTTTTTCTCTTTTTTCCCGTTATGTGCTGCTTTGTTTCTTTCTCTCGCTTACGCCAGTAAACATGACAGCTCCCACTTTTCTAACACCTTCAAACACTGTTCAGCTTTACCTTTGCTACCGACATGCCAATGTGTTGTTGTAATAATGAACTGAGATTTCCTTAATCTATGTAGAATTCTATTTATTGATAATGTGCTGACTGGATGCAATTCTGTAGTAAAAATGCTGAGAATTCCATTCTGTATCACAATTACTGTTTTGGAATAAAGCAAATTATTATTATCTTCACTTTGTTCTGTTTGGTGCTATCGTCTTCATCCGGCTGGGTCCACGATTTACCAAACTCTCTCATCTCCTCCTCAAAAGATCTCCTCCATATCACCCTCTGACTGATGACCCACTCGTCGCTTCCCATTGAGACTCCACTCGAGGGCCTGGCACACGATGTCGCTTGGTGGTTTCCTCAGTGTATTCCCAATTCACCTCTATTCTCTCTTACATATTTGAACAAAGCAAGAACTACAGTTTTAGCAGAATAAAGTGGTACCATCCTTTGTTTATTTCGTTGCCTTCTCGTCAGCTGCTTACAGGGCAAAGACATTATTAAATGTATTCACAAAAACATTTTTAACATACTTGCACAGAGTTCATTCTAAACAAATGTCAATCGTCAGTATACGCATACACTTATATTATAGACATATATATATTTATGCAATATTAAACACTATTCCGAACAATAATAATCATACACAATGGAAACCTTTCAGCATCTCGCATTCGGATGAAAAATATCCAGTTAACAGGGCAAAGAAAGACTAATAAATCAATAGACACAGTTATGAATAAGGCTAAGACATCCACAGCGGACCTTATACGCCGAATGAAGCCATTTCTAGGTGAGTCTAAGTGGTTTGATTTAATGCCCAAAACTAATAACCCCAGTAGAATGTATGGTGTTGTTAAAGTTCATAAGTCAGGACCTATAGTTGATTTTAGAAATTCGCCTACTTATGAAGTGTCTAAATATTTAGCTATGGTATTAAATCCTCTTAAAAGTCACTCAAAATCTAGACTAACAAATTCTTATGAACTAAAACGTAGATTGGATAATTTAAAGTTAGATAGTGAAGAAAAAGTCGACTTCCTTCTCCTTTCCCATTTGTAGTAAGGATAGTAGAATTCTAAAGATATCCAGATATGGGCAGGAAATTATAACACGAACATTAAGAGTTATAGGAACAACAAACATACACAGAAATACGACTACATCAAGAATAGGGAATTTAAAACACTAGTAGTGCTGTTGTAGAAAGAGCGAAGCTCTGAAAAGGCAGAAGTGACAGTGGCATTCAAGCCCACAAACTCACTTAGAAACAAATCATCTGAGTCGAGGAATCCTATGGAGTCCATTTAAGAAAACAATTCAGTTTATCTAGAATGTTGTAATGATTCTGAGATCAAATACCAGACCAGAGACAATTAGATTAGTAAAGTGTACAAAATCTAGAAGAAGCTCAGCGATAGCACAATGTATAATCACACACAACTATACAATCGAACAGGGCAAGATGACCGTCTTAAAGTCTACTGCGGTGTAGCTGAGGAAGAGACTGACAATCGAAGCCTTATTTATCGAATCAAAAGAGAATATGCGCAACAGGGATTACTCGATTCTTGCCAACGAAATCCAGAAAGTTCCACGATCCTAACGATTAATCATAAAAGAAGATCGAGATGTTATGTTGCTACAACTGGTGACATGATTATGAACAATCATTTGTGTTTGAATAATAATCTTTTATAAGTGAGGAATTATTAAGGAAGAGAAGGTTGCAGAGAGGAAGAAAATTTTCTTCTCGACAAAATCATTGTCAACTAGATAGCTGCACATTCGTGTCTTTATATTAAATGTGTAAGAAAGTTCGGCAAAGTTAAACTTTCAGCAGCATTTACAACCAATCAGTAAACGACCTTGAACGGACCAATCACATAAAAGAGGCATTTTTCATAAAGGGAAACGTAAATTCACGGGAAAAAAGCATAAATGTGTTACAGAGGGTATCTTTCTCTAACATGTGAGAGAAACATCTCCCAGTTGAGCATAGGACTGTCAATGGAAAAGTTACACCACATTCTGTAATATATTCATCCAAATGACTATAAATGAGATCCTTTTGAGATCCATTTATAGCCCTAATCCTATTTTTCAACCTCCCCCAAAATCCTTCAATAGAATTTGTGTTTGTCCTCGTAATAGGATCGACAAAATCACTGGAATGGTTCACTCTGTGATGAATATATCCAAGAGATGACAGAGAGTTGTAACCATTCCATTCATCCGTATGTATTATTGATCCCCGTTTTACAAGTCTGGTAATAATAGGTATTAGAGTAGTTGCCTTTCTATCTGCTATTCTTTCCACGAATCCTTTTCGGAGGGAGGTGTCGTATAAACCAATTACCCAAATATTGTTGGCTCGCTGACGACCACGGTTGTATTTCTTCTTCACCAACACAGTTTCGTCAACGTGCACAACGATGTCTTCTCCACCCAACAAAGAAGTAATTTTCTCCATTTTCCACGATGCAATGTCTCTGATCGATACCACTGAACTGTCGAGACGAGGCTATTCTCGGTTTCAGCAGCTGCGGCTCTCGCCGGCTGTTTTAAGACCCAGTAGTTGCAAATATACAAAATCTGCGTTAAGGAGAGATGCTACCTTGCAAAAAATGTTCCTACGAAATATTAAAATTATCAGCTTACCTTCTCTAATGCTAACTCGCTTCAAACAAATTGCACAACGATGGACATATCCATCAGTTGACCTGCTAAAGCTTTTTAAACTCATCACACCACCACACGAACAAATTCTCTCCTTCCTAAGCAACCCTAAATCCAGGCAATACTGGAAAACATTATCTTCCTCGAATTGCAACTGTAACTTCGTTAGGGCACGCATTTGAAACGAATCAAGCGCTATACAACATTGAAATCAAGTTTATGAATCTCATTGGATAATTCGACGTCGTTCGCTGATTGGTAGTTAGAGTGGTGCTTAAAGTTTAACTTGGCCGAAAGTTCCAGTATTATTTCCGATCATAGGTTAAATTAATAAAATTACTAAGTGTAATAATCAGGAGGGTAGGGTAGAAAAGACATAACAAGATTATAATTACTGGAGAACTCATCAGTTTGTATAACTACGGGTTAAGGATGTAGTATTAACGAAATGGATAGGAAGTTCGGACATATTAAAATTAAAACAGTAACCAAATCTAATAATGCAGATGAGAATTAAAAACGTCAGTGTAACAGAAATAAACAGGAAGGTCGGACAAGAAAGGTGATAGGGTAATCATTATTGGTGCAAACGACTGTTCACACTAGGGACAGCGGCTGAACGTATTTCTTTTGTACACATAGCGTGGACTTGAGTTTTTGGATTGCCAGTGCCTTAGCTGTTCCTGGATGTCTTGATTTAACTCCCTTTGGTAGGTCTGACCAGATCTTGTATATAACTTTGAAGGAGTTTTCAAATGGAGCTGAATGTCCTGAGTTCATTAGATGTTCTGTTATCGAACTATGTACGCATTCGCGTTCTCCCTTTGCTAATCATGCTGGATAGTGTTTCCAAGCGCGTTTTCCAAGAGGACACATGGTACGGCCAATGTACTCTCCTCCATACAGGCAAGTGAACTGGTATGTGAATGTTGAAGTGGCCCAATGCGATAACATGTCTTTCAAGTGTCAGAAGAATAGTTTCTTGCAGAAGAATGTTACTCGTAGTCTGGTGGTGAAGTATGCTATACTGAGAGACTTCGATAGGCGTTTACGAAGAAGTTCTGCTTCGGTATCACTTTTATATTCGAGGTTCAATTTCCGCATATTTTTGGGTGCGACTTGAACCTTTTCAGCCGTTTTCTTTGGTTTTATATGCTTGTCTATGAATCTGGGTGGAGGGAAACCATTTTCTATTAAGGTATCTTGGAGATTTTGCAATTCTTCATAAGTCCCACCAATAATGATTACCCTATCGCCTTCAGTGGTTCTCTAACTGATATCAATCCGTGATCAGCTCGTAAAAACAAAATTAATCCTTACAAACCTACTATAGAAAATTAATCTGATGCTAACTAGTGACTTGATACAAGATGGAGTTTCTTGGAGTTCTAGTGAGAAGTCGTGACTAGTGAGGTCCATCCAGTCAAGTGTGAGGATGGATGTCCCACCGATGATATTGGTTGGTACCAGTCACGCTAAATCGCGAATTGGTAGAAGTTAGAATTCAAGGACTGGCCACTGAAGAATCGGGTCCCAGTGGTTGAGTGGTATGTGAGTTTGCTTTGTAACCAGAAGGTCCTGAGTTCGAATCCGGCAGTGTGGGTGTGCACTGCCGATGATTCCCAATCTAGGCTGATGAAACAGCTGTCCAATACACCCTGGTTATCAATGGTTCTCTAACTGATATCAATCCGTGGCCAACTCGTAAAAACAAAATTATAATCTTATTATGTCTTTTCTACTCTACCCTCCTGATTATTACACTTAGTAATTTTATTAATTTAACCTTTGACCGGAAATAATTCTGGAACTTTCTTACACATTTAATATAAATACACGAATATATAGCTGTCTAGTTGATGGTGATTTCGTCGAGAAGAAAATTTTCTTCTTCTATGCAACCATCTTTTCTTTAATAATTCCTACAATCCCAATGTGGAATTTCGGAAAACCCCATCAGCTCATGAATTACTTGTACAAACAAAATAACCATTTCCGAAATTCTGTTGACAGTATAGACTCCATTAACGAAACTAACTCAAGCAAAGAAACAATCTGTATGCCTCCAAGAAACACTTTAAACTCAAGCTTAGATATCATTTGGTCGATGATGACTAGCAGTGGAATCAATGATTTACATTTCGTCCTATTTCGAACTCTTCAGGCAGCTTTATCTGCATCTCCAGTTAATAGCAGTTCTCCCCCACCCCCTAAAATTGACACCCAGTACCAATTGTTTCAAACACCACGGCGTCATCCACAAGTCCACTAGACGACGAGAGTTACTTCTTGTGAAGTCAGTTTCATTTCTATTCAAGTGCGTCGGTGGCATAGCGGTTAGGACTCTCGCCGACCATGCACATGGTCCGAGGTTCGATCCCCCGCCGACGCACACCCGATATCAATGGTCGGCCTGAGAAATTTGGGCTACCGATATCGCATGCTGAAAATTTCATACTTGTACCAAAAATACTGTGTGGAATCAAACTATAATAAAATTAAAAAATAGCTTGTAGGGATTTGATTGGTTACAGGATTTCACCATGAGCTGACATTGGTAAGAGAACCATCGGAAAACCTGGGAGTACTGGACAGCTGTTTCGGTCTAGTTCGGGACTCTTCATCAGTACTTATGAATTTTAGCAACACCATACATCCTACTAGCCGAGACACAAATCAACACTGGCGAAGAGGTCAGAGTCGAAAAGCACTGGAACAACTTGAAGACAGTGTGGAGTCAAACCTGCATGGAAGTTCTAGGCAGAAAGAAGAGACAGGACAAACAATGGCTCACTACAGACACTTGGAAACTAATAGAAGAGAGAGGGATGGTGAAACAAAAGATTCTCCAGTGCACCGATGAGCAACAAAAACGGAATTTGAACGCAAGCTACAAGACACTGAACAAAAGAGTAAAGAAGAGTGCCAGAGAAGACAAAAGAAAGTACTATGAAACCATGGCAAGTGAGGCAGAACAAGCTGCAGGCAAAAGAGACCTCGCAACACTCTACCAAACTACTACGTACCTATCGGGCAAACGTTTGACACAAATCAAGCCGGTGAAGGATGACAATGGAAAGTCACTCAACAAAGAAGTGGAGCAAAGGAAACACTGGGCTGAACACTTCAAAAGACTCCTAAATTGACCACCACCTACAACGCGCCCAACAATAGCAACAACGGAAGCAGAATTACCAGTGAACATCAACCCCCCGACGAGAACAGAAGTCCTAAAGGCAATCAAGATGCTAAAAGCTGGGAAAGCAGCAGGACCAGATGGAATCCCAGCAGAAGCATTGAAAACGGACCCAGAGACAACAGCGGACTTGATGACGCCACTACTGGAGAAGGTGTGGAAAGAAGGCAAAGTACCCGAGGATTGGAAGAAAGGATACCTATTCAAACTACCAAAGAAAGGAGACTTAAGTCAATGCAAGAACTGGCGCGGAATTATGCTCCTGTCCATCCCAAGCAAAATACTAAGCCGCATCATCCTGGAAAGGATCAAACAAGCCCTGGATGAAAAACTTCGACCAGAACAAGCTGGATTCAGGAGTAACAAGTCATGTATTGATCAAACCGCCACACTACGGATCATCATTGAACAAAGTTTGGAATGGCAGTCAGCTCTCTATCTCAACTTCACTGACTTTGAAAAGGCGTTCGACAACGTCAATCTAGAGGTGGTTTGGCAACTAATTTACTACTATGGGATGTCGCCAACAATTATACATCTCATTCAACAGTTGCACGACAATGCTGCATGCCAAGTAATCCACAACGGAAAACTCACAGAATCCTTCGAAATGAAGACGGGAGTAAGACAAGCTGGCTGCCTACTATCTCCAATGATTTTCCTGATTGCGGTAGACTGAATAGTGCAACAGATAGCGGGTAAAGCAACGAGGAGACACGCATAGAATGGACCCATACAAAAATATTTGGAGGATCTGCACTTCGCCGATGATATATGTCTGACTTCACACAAACTGAAAGATATGCAAGTGAAAAGCAACAAGTTGGCAGAAGGAGCATCAAAGGTAAGACTTCAGGTGAACATAGCGAAAACAGAGGTGAGGAAGGTTCCTGGCCAACAGCAACAGCAACAACCACAACAACAGACAACAATCAGCCAGCATAAATGAAAGAAACAACCTCCACCTACCTGCCTACCTGGGAAGCATCGTTTCAACTACAGGCGAACTGTACTGATGTGGAAATCAAAGCGAGGATCGGGAAAGCAAGGCAAGCTTTCATTATTCTCAAGTCTGTGTGGAGGTCAACACCACTCATCATGAAAATGCAAATAAAATCCGGATTTTCAACTCCAATATGAAGTCAGAGCTACTTACTATACGGATCAGAGACTTGGTGCCTCGCCGCGTCATGAAGGGAACTTCAAACAAACTACACACCTTCATCAACAGCTGTCTTCGCTCAATACTTCGCTCAAGATCAGATGGCCGGCCAGGAAAGATCACCAACAGGGAGAGGTCTATGGGAGCGAATCAACTCAGCAGGAACCAGTTGTGCAACAAATATGCAGGAAGAAATGGAGGTAGGTTGGCTGGCCATACTCTGAGAAAACAAATCATCAAGTGAGTGACATCACACGCCAGGCCATCGCTCTAGTGGAACCCGAATGGGAAGCGGCGAGGTAGTTGATCGTCAGTGCGAGGGTGACATGGAGTGGAGGAGGTGACGATGTGAAGAGGAGATCAAAACATGTAGGCAGACGTGGAGCCGGGTGAAAAGGTTGGCAGAGAACCGAAGGCAATGGAGACGTGAGCGGCTGAAGCCCTATGTTCCTCCAGGAACTAAAGGAAATATTACGAATAATAATCTCTTGGCAAGATGAAAAATGTATTAGTTCGCAGGGATTTGACTGATTCCAACATAGATGACGAAGTGATATCACTTAGGGAACTACTGCAAAATAGATAGTAGTGGGCAACTGTTTCGTCCTATTGTAAAATTCCTCACTAGTACACAGGATTGAACGTGGCTAGAGTTACGAGGTGAATCCGTTGACCGGCCAAGTTAAACTTTAAGCACCACTAACTACCAATGGAGTGCGACCGCACCAATGACCTTGAAAGGCTCACTCAGCAAGTTGGTGAAACCCGGCAAATAATGTTGTCATCATCTATATAATATGTTAAACGAAGTGCTATATTATTAAATGGCTTATCTGGTAAGTTTCAGCTTAGGTTTGGGAAAGATTGAGTGACTCTTTAAGCCAAGGACAAGTTAGGGTTAGGTTGACCTGACAATTGTTAGGTTGGGAGGCGGCACTAGGTTTGGTTCGAGTTAGATTACAGTTAGTTTAGGGATATTTTCACGTAAGAGCTTGGTTCAAGAAAGATTAGGGTTATTGTTAGGGTTAGAAGACTTAAATAATTACATGCATAGAATGTGGTTAAATTTCTCTGTTGATATAAGAATAGAACTTGTGCACTGTGGTAGAGTATAATTCCATTATAGGTAAAATTTATTTTGATAAAGTCTCACAGTGTTATACAGTAATATTTACTGATGACAACGTTTCGAGCACAATTTACTGCTCAGTAAATATTACTGTATTACAATATGAGACTTTATCAAAATAATTTGTACCCACAATGGAAGTATACTCTGTTGATACTGCAACCTAAAACATAACTATTTTTATCACATGTGAGAGGAAGGTATCCTCTGCAACACTTTTATGCAGTTTTTATGCATTTTTTTTTCATAAATATCTGCATTCCATACACAAAAATGCCTCCTTCACGTGATTGATACGTTCGAGGTCATTCTCTGTGATTGTTAGTTAGTTAGTGGTGCTTAAACATTAACTTTGCCCGTTGACCATTTGTCAACTGGTACGGAATCCACAGCCCAGTGAATTTTAACTCCCCCTCCCACCCCCCCAGTTTGCGATACACAGCGCTACCTCGAGTTAGTATCATAAAGACGAGTTTTTCTACTCATAAGTGACTTGGTAGGGAAAAATTGGTCATGAATTCTCAGTAGAACTTCTGGAAGCTTCCTTCTGTAATCAGTCATTAGTGGGTAGAGTATATTTAACTGTCAAACTAAATTCACTTACCGTCGATTTTGATACCACGTCTTAATTTGTGCTTCAGATAGGCCTAAATGTGCTGCAAGATCAGCTCTTTCTGTAACACTCAAGTATCTTTGACATAGGAAACTTTGTTCTAAACAGAACAACTGGGATTGTGTAAAAGCAGTACGTTTTCGTCGATAGGGTTGTTGGTGTTGTTGCTCCTGGTGCTGTTCTTCTTGTTGGTGGTGTTGTAGTTGTTGTTGGTGGTGATTGTGATTGTGCTGTGCCTGTAATCGATCTAATTCACTCAACTGATTCGAAGTGAAAGTTGAATAAATTGATGCGTCACCGGAGAAAGTTATCAAATCGACTCCGTGCATAAACAACTTAGAATTTGTAGAATAATTCACTTGAAGAAATTCAGACGGACAATCTTGATTGTGATTTGTTATAGAATAACCTAAAATATGAAATTACAAAAAAGATGTAGATGTAGAAATATAACTTTAATGGAAATATTAAAATATTGATGTTTTAGGTGATGATTGGAGGTGATGTGAATATCTGACAGGATTCGAACCAGCGGCTTCTAAATGACCAATCAAGTTAGAATCCAACGGTGACTTAGGTTTTCATTTCACCGTCAGGCATCATCACCCTCTGCACACCGATAACAGACTGTCGACTAAAGATTACCTCGTATAATCTCATTATCAATGTAAATGTTGCCTGGACACGGGTAAAGATTACAAAATCTCTAATAGAGGTCAATGCTTCGGAAGATTATAAGTACTTTCCAATTTATAAAAATATGACAATGAAAAATTTACTGTGATGCCCTTAAGGGAAGAATTCCAACATCCTTGAGAATAATAGGGCTAAGAGTGATGTTCTCCCGTCGTCCACTGGTCTGTAGAAGGTTGAAAAGCAAAATTTCGCATCTGATCATGTCTGTGTGCATATAACAGTGATGCGATACACATCGGACAAACCTCACCAGACAGAAATCAAGGTAATCAGAAGAAATGAACACCGTAGAGTGAGTGTCTGTTCGACCACCGAGAAATCAAGTTGAACTAGAAAAGCTTGAGAAATCATCAGCCATAGCTCGTCTACACGCTACGCTGTAGAATTAGGTCACAAAATTGATTTTGACAATATTGAAATAATCCAGAAATCACAAAGAGCGTCTGATATCATCAAAAGCACTTCATATCCAGTGGAATCCAAATTGTCTGATGAACGGGATTGATTGACTAAAACAGAATTTAACCTGTTTGCAGCACCCCCGTCCCTCGTGAAATGACAAAATCAACACAAATGTGATGTAAACACAATCTGCTTTTATAATTTCACACAATTATCAAATCCAACAATCTACACCTGGTTTTGTTATCTTTACCAATTGACCAATTTGACAACACAAAATTCACCCTATGCTGATGGACGACGATTAAGTTATTATATATAAGCTGAGATTTTGTAAATTCTGGTTTAACAATACTACTTTGAGAAAGCTATTAGCAGCAGGAGTAAGTAGCGAAAAGTCAGTAAAAAAAAGAAGATATCCTCTGAAGATGATTTCGTCGATAAAGAAAATTTTCTTCGTTGAATCTGTCTTTTATTTTCTTCATATCGCTTTGTTTTTCACTAATTGGGATAATGAATATTTCATACCCAATGCCAAAATTTTTTCAAACTGTTAAAAGTGAACTTGGTCTGGACATTTACAATATCGGTTCACCTGTTGTTGTGAGGCTGAGCATATTGGTCGTTCTACGCGTACCCTGTCTAAAAAAGTTCAAGGACATTATCCTGCATAGTTGCAGAAAGCCAGCAGAAGATCTCTAAGGAGTTCAATAACTGAACACCTTGTCAACACTGGTCGTTCTGTTTCAACAAACTTATCCTTAAAAATAATCTGCAAAGTGGAGAAAAACATCCCGAAGACAATACGCTTTCGTCTCCTTTTCAAATGCTGTAGCTCTAGTCATTCACAGAGAAAAATCAAAGCTCTGCATACAAAAGAAAATTATACAACCACTTGTACTATCATAGTAATGACCCTGTTGTTTTCAACCAATTTGTAGTTTTTTTTTTAACTCTCTCTGACTCTTCTTTTCTTTCGAATTCTTAAAGAATACTTAACATTCTCTCGTTTACATGTTCATCATGATTACCACTCGCTCATTAATATAGTGGTCAATTGAATTCCTCTACTTTTTAAAGCTCTAGTTCTATCTTCTGTTTTAGGTACAAATTGTTAGGTAAGAAGGGAAGGTCAACCGACGAGTTTGTGTGCCCGAGATGACCAAGATGCTCGTTATACACGCCAATTCACCGCCCGTCCTTTCGAGCAACGTTAGCTGACGTAGGATTAGATTGGGAAAGATTTAGGGATGGTCAGACTAAAACATGGCATAAGTCGATGAAGTCTTAGACTGTTGGTCGGTTCAGGCAGCGGAGGGAGGTGCACACCGCTAATGTGGGATCCTCTATGCCGCTAAGGACCAATGACTTCAAACTGCTGGTGATATGGCTCAAAACCGTTTTCAACTGCTCAGATTCACCTTCTCTTTAAAATCTCCAATATCTGTTAGACTGTTCTCTACTCCCATGTTACTATTCTTTCTCTCATCCGTTTCTGCCCCTTGTGCTTAAGGAAATGTCGCAACTTGAACTGTTGCACTTATGTGCAGAGTCCTATGTCGAAACCCAGTTGGTCAGTTAAAGCTTTATCGGTGTCAGTTAATCACTTAATTCTTGCAAACCAGCTATAGAAAATTAATCTGATGCTTACTAGTAACTTGCTACAGGACAGAGTTTCTTGGAGTTCTAGTGAGAAGTCGTGACCAGTGAGGTCCATCCAGTCAAGTGTGAGGATGGATGTCCCACGGATGATATTGGTTGGTGCCAGTCGCGCTAAATATCACGAATTGGTAGAAGTTAGAATTCATGGACTGGCCATTGAGTTGAGTGGGTCCCAGTGGGTGAATGGTATACGAGCTTGCCTGCCTGGTAGCCGGCAGGTCCTGGGTTAGAACTTCGGTATAAATGTTACCAACTGACACAAAATTTCAGCACAGTCATCACTGAATCTTTACCACAGCAAAATAATCTAAATATTCACATGTTAGTCTAGATTAGTTTAAACTGGATAAAGTCAATTCATAATGCTATTTCGCTGATGGTGACTATTAGTGGAATTCGCGTGGTATTTCGTCCTATTCGGGGCACGTCAGGCAGTTGTACCTCCAGCCCCACTGTATAATGACTCTCTCGTTAAGACTCAAATTCAACATCCAACGTTTCAGATGTCAAAGCGTTATCTATTAGGCCATTGGAACACAAGAACCAACTGTTACTCAATGAGTTTCAGTGGTCGTTTGTTTAAATAGGTGGTACATGTCACCCAGTGGTCTTCGAGATAACGTTCTGCTATTTGAAACGATTATGGATGGATTCAAAACTTGCTGGGGAAACTATCACTCACTGAGGAGGCTGTAGGTACAGCTGATTTCCACAACTGGAAAGCTGATTCGTTCTAGTTTGGGATGAATCGGCAGGGTTCGAGCCCAGGACCTACCGGCTACAAGACAAGCTCATATATCGTTCAGCCACTGGGACCCGATACATGCTTTAATCTCCAAACATCACCGATGCCACTTTCGTAAGAGCCACCATATTGGCGGAAATCGAGAATTTCGGTTCAATGTAAACCAATCAACGGAGAAATACTAAGTAACTCAAACAAATAAAGAGAATGAGTAATTGGTGTATATGAGTAGCAAGGTAAATTATTCTGCGTATTTCCCCAGTGTTGATTTACAAGGACTTGGGTGGTCTTAGGTTCAGTTACGGGCTGGCATCAGTCAGAGAGCCATTGGGAAACTAGGGAATACTGGAAAGTTGTTTCTTCCTAGTATGGGACTCTTTATAAGTACACGTATAGTGAGGGTTCAAACTCAGGACCTTACGATTACATACCAGTCTGACTCAGAATCTCATTACAATTCCACGTGATTTACTTGTCTCGACAGATTTTTTTACTGGTATATGACATATACAAAATCCATCTACCCCAGTGAGTGTAACTACTGCTAATTTAATTTTTAGCAGCATAATTTTTAGAAAAGGAGAGGTAATAGCTATAGGTCTAAATTTAAAACATGTTCCAGTAGATGACTTGTGTATAGGTACGATTTTAATGTCAGAAACTGTATTATGGTACACAAAGAATTATCCTGAATAATGACAAGCATAAAGATAAAGCAAATCGTCTCCTCAGTGACCAGAAAAATTCTAAAAATCAAATAATCGTAAATATACTACTGATGTTAAAGAGGGCCAAATGATTAAGACTCTTAAATCACTGATAGAGAAGAATCTGATTCTTAAGTCCATTCAAGATTAGTAGAAACCCTGAAACATACACATGCAAAAACGCAGAGTTTACGGTTTACGGAAAACCCACACAGCTGGAGTTCCATAACGTCCTATTTCGGATACATCTCAGTCGCCTTATCATTCAAAAGGAAGGTGGTTATTAAAGGCATTGGAACCTCTACATGATGGAGTGATGAAGTTGCGCATAAATTAGTGTGGAGGTGGAATTCGGGCACTATGCTAAAATCATAATTCCGTATTAGATAAGCTGAATGTCATTTCGAGTAAAATTTATCGCTCATGACCGTATGAGTGTGTAAACATGACATCCCAACATACCATTTGCGGATACTTTGATTGGACACCAGGCAGTAGCTAAAGACTTGCGTCTAGCTCTTCATTTCGTGCAGACTAAGTTCTATCAGTCTCTGAATGCAGCAGTGGGTGAGTCGGCCTCGAATCTCAGAAGGATTACTTCAAGATTGCAGATATGCCTCTCAGACGAGTACAAACAAGCACGAAACCTTAATCCAAGGATTCCTGTCGATTGCCTCCAACTATCTAACATACTTTATCTAGCTTTAGTCACTCCTGTTTTTTTCACTGCAGTTTTTCATACATAGACAACAAGTGTTGTGTCTTTTGGATTGTATGTACTGGTGTTGATGCAATAAACAATGGCTCAATGATTAAACTCTCTCGATTCATCTAAGTGTATCACTTTGTATACTTTCATCCTATCCCCCCTAAGAATGTGTAAACACATGCAAGTAAATGCAATGCAGTGTCCGAATATTTTCCTAGATCACACAACTTAGTGCGGTCATTCATTCCCGTTCTCATAAGTTAACTGATCCCGATCTAGTAGTCTAACCTAAGTAACTGGTCTCCCAGTTATTACATTTGTTACCTAATTAGGTCTGTCGTATCCTTAAGTTGAAAAAGTTTGTATCCAAGTAAACTGGCTGGCTAAACTGTCACCCTAATTGTAGTCTTATTAAGAATTCTACATTGTGTCTTTCATATTCCTTCCTCACGTAGTGGTACCATCGAGACTTTAAGTTACATCATTAAAGTTACTTGTTTGTTGATGGCTGACAGTGGAATGCAGAATGAGCATTTCATCCTACTCGGCACTTATGAGTTAAATGTATATGCATCCCCAGTGAGTGATGACGTCTCCTCGCTAAAATCATTCCAGACAGATCCACATAATCAATAATTATGGCAGTTATAATGTTCATTATTGCTCCTCTAACTTTCAATTTTAATTGCGTCACCTTATTTATACCTTATATTCAATATTACTTTTAGGAACTAACATCACTTGGAGAATCATTATAAACTAGAGTGCTGAACAGTTATTTTTTCCCACTTTGGGAGTTTTAGGCAGTGTTCATCTATGGTCCCATCAGAGATGAAACTCAGGATTATAAGGTGAGCAGGTTACTATTTAGCCAATAGGGTAGATGTCAAGGGCACATGAATCCTGACTTCTGTCAGTTCGTGGTGTAGCGCCAGCGTCAATTTATACCATCGATGAGTATCCACTCAACACTTCACTAGGTGAACCTAATAGGTCATAACTTCTTGTTAGAATTCAAGGAAACCCATCACATAATCAGTTGCTAAGTGAGTAGTGAATTTCTAGTGATTAATGGTGTTCCAACCGAAATAAGGAACGCCACTGAATGCAAAGGATCCTACAAGGATCCAACTGAACAGCCTAAAATAGGGATAAACGCTGTATGTATATTAAAATGCTAGCCACTACCAAGCAAGTTGACAGAATCCAGTCTGCACTAATACGAAGGATTAAACGCTTGACATTGGTTACTCCCCTAGTAACCAGTCAATGTATCCACTACAGGTCTACAGGGGGGATCAGTAATGAGCCCCAATAGCTCAGTAGTAAGATATCTAACTGCAGCACTGAATGCCATGGGGTCGAAATGTTCACAGGGGGGGGCCTGAGTCCGTTCAGATTTGTAAAGTACGCCTTGTTGACGAGTGTCTACCTAGGTCCAGGGCTTCCCGCCAATGTTTATGCTGAGTAATTTCCTTATCATTTCTTGTGAAATATGTGATTATTCATTACGTCCCTCAATAACAGAAATAACAAATATAAAGCAAGAACAACAGTGGTGGTTTGTGCAGAATACAAGATGGTACCATCAGTGCTTATTTCGTTGGCTCCTCATCAGCTCAGCTGCTTGCTTACAGTCTAAAGAAATTATTATTATTAAGTTCATGTACAGAAAAGTTTTAACATACTTGCAAATTTTACTTTCATGATGTCAGTTGACAGAAAGTTCCGCAACTAGTGAATAGTGTTCAGAAAATTGCACTTATATAGTTTTTACACAGGCAGTTCAAGTTGAAACAAAATAAATGTGTGCAGACAATGGTAAAAGAGTTACGTAATAAAGACGAGAGATGCGTAAGATGCTGAGTGACTAATAAATTAGGTAACAATGTACTGTCAACAGAAGATTGAGTACGTCACTAGCCAGGGCCTATCCTGCCATCGAACAACATGCTCTTTGGCGCAGTCAAAAGTCGACAGATACCCTTCTCATGTTAACTCCAACTGTGCATACAAATTTACATGTATCTGCTGGAGCGGTTACATTGGTAGAACAGAAATAAAGGCACACCTCCGATTGTCTGAACATGTGCCGAAAAGCCAACGTCTTCAGTGGGAAACAAGCGCTTACAATAGGGCCATTATCAGGTATCTCCTTGATACAGGTCATGAGGTGGAAATCGCAAAATCCTTTTAAATTATCAACAGACAAAGGAGCTCAATTCTCCTCAAGTTTACCGAAGCAATTTCCATCAAACGCTTGAAACCAGATTTATGTGTTCAGAAAGAAGCGGTTATTGGTCATTTTTTGCCCTGATAACTGGATGTCTTTATTCTTTCTTCCATTTCGATTACATAATCTTTGGCTTCAACCTCCCCCCCCACTTCGATATAGTATAATTTTGTTTGTCTCTTGTTTCTGTGATTTGAGTTGAACTCATTACATTGTTACCCAACTTATTAGTCACTCAGCATCTTACGCATCTCTCGTTTTTATTACGTAACTCCTTTATCATTCTATGCATACATTTATTTCGTTTAAACTTGAACTCCCTATGTAAAAACTAAATAAGCGCAATTTTCTGAGCATTGTTCACTAATTGCGAAACCCCCTGTGAACTGACATCATGAAAAATGTTGCAAGTATGTTGAAACTTTCTGTACATAAACATAATAATAATTTCTTTAGGCTGTAAGCAGCTGATGAGGTGATGAGAAGTCAACGAAATAAGCAATGATGATACCATCTTGTATTGTACACAAACCACTGTTGTTCTTTAATTGAATTTTAGATTTTCCCGTTGATTAATTGGACAGAAGTGCTCGGTCTCAGTTTGACATGTCTGTCGGCTTCTTGTGCAGATGCTTCGACGATGTCTGGCCATGTAATTAGAAGTTAATTGGTTGATGTTGACTAACAGTGGAATCCAGGATAACGCATATTTCGTCCTATTCGGGACTCGCTGGTGGCTGGATGTACCTGCATTCCACAGTGAGTCAATGATGATGTACCCACCGAGGCTCGAAACCAGTGTCCGTGGCTTTAAATGCCATAGTGTTATCCACTAGACCACTTGGGCCACGAGAGCCACCTCTTGTGCAAAGGGTCCCGTTGCACAAGAGGTGGCTCTCGTGGCCCAAGTGGTCTAGTGGATAACGCTCTCACTTTTGAGACGATGGGCACTGAGTTCGACCCTCAGTAGGAGTACCTTCACTCATTGGGGAATGCAGCTACCTCCGGATGACGAGTGCAAGATAGGGTGAATCGTGCATCCTGGATTTCACTGCTAGTCACCATCCACCCATTAAATTCTAATCCTTGTTGTTCTTACATTATTCAAACTCACAAAAGGGGAATAAATGCATGAAAAAATATGTAGAAACTTACATGTATCATTTGATGAATGATTTGATGGTTGTAGAATATTTTCAATAGAAAATGAAGGAATAGTTTTTTTATTCGCTATTATTGTCGGTGTTATTGCTGCTGAGGATGATGATGATGATTCTGTTTTATTTTGTCTATCCATAAACATTGAACACATTGAATATTGTTTTGTTTTAATGTTCAATATACATTTAAATGTAGTCTGTACAGAGAGTAGTTAGTTTGAGCACAACGAAACGTCTAGTCATCGGTTGGATAATTTCTTCTTTAGAGCACCTTTTCAAAATGAGACGACAGATAAATGAACACTCGACTTTTATTTAAGGCTTGTGTTTTTTTTGTTGTTGATAAATTTAAACAAATTTAACCGGTATAAAATGAATAGTGTCGATTGGTCAACAACATCACTTGCATCATTTTGATATATATCGTTTAGGTCTCTACTCACATATTCGTATACTCAACCTCACACTCACTCACACTCAGTGACACTTATTTCCCCGTCGCTCCCTCCCCCCACGGGATTTCCACAATTCACTTCATTAAAATCGAGATCAAAATAGATGGGCGAGTGGGGGAAAGATCAAGGTGTCAAGTTGAAAAGATAAATAGATTACGCAACAATAAATATGCGGAGAAATAAATCTGTTACACTAAGATACTCCTAAACAAACAAATAGACCAGAAAGGTAACCAAAAATTAAATTAGGCTTGAAATTGTGCCAGTTTATTATTATTATTACTATTGTCAATTTTAATGAGATTTCAATAAACAGGGCTTCATTTTTAATCCCCATTCAATTATATTCAGCCAATCACTGACGTACTCACTCCCCTCACCACCTGCTCTCTATTTCCTATCCATTTCTCACCTTTAAGGCAAATGAAAGGAGGCAGAGGTAGAGAGACAGAGAGAGGATTGAATATTTCTAACCTCTTAGTTAAAAGTGAATTATTTAAGATAACGATAATAATAGTAATGATGACGATAAATTTGACCAATTAGATTGGGACGCGTTGCATCATTATTGATGTTTATTATCCGTAAGAGTGATTACTCCTCAATTCTACTACGGTTATTAGTGGAATATCATAACAATACTTGTCCTAACAACAACAATAATAGTAAAAATAAGCTCAGTGTAATCAGTGAGGGGGGTGGGGAGGAAATGGAATATTTCGTTTACATTAATTTAATAATTGTGTGTATACGAAAAAAGGAAAGTGATGAAATACCCTTAGGGAATATTTATTCAATTCAAATGATGATGATATAAGTGTGAGTTGGTCAGGTTGCTAGTTTGTTAGTTTGCAGGATGGCAAGTTAGTTAGTTCGTTAGCTAGATAGTTAGTGAACTGTTCTGTTACAATTTACACTAGTAACTATGATTCGCATAAGGTTATTTATGATTAGTTAATGAGACCATGGAGCAGTGGTTCTGTCTCAGTTAGGCAATCAGTGTTTATACTGAGTGGTATACAAGCTTGAAGTCTAAATATATAATTTGCTCATTTAGGAATATTGTTATATCTCATTATACTATAGAAGTCTAATCAGTGAATTTGGGTACGGTTATTTAAAATGTTGAAGTTTCTGTAGCAATTTGGTTAAGTTTTGGGGGTGGAGTTGCTAGCACCACGCACCAACCCTCCATCTTTATCCGGGCTTTGGACCGGCTAGAAAACTAGCGAGCTAATAATCTAGGTGAGTCGCATAATCCTGGAGAGGATAAAGGACGCAGTGGATGCAGAATTCCGACCAGAACAAGCTGGATTCAGGAAAGGCAAATCATGTTCCGACCAAATTGCAACTCTACGCATCATCATCAGAGAACAAAGCATGAAATGGCAATCAAACCTATACCTCAACTGTATAGACTTTGAGAAGGCCTTCGACAGTGTTGACCGCGAAGTAATTTGGAAACTACTCGGGTACTACGGTGTACCCGAAATGTTCATCAACCTTTTTCAACAGCTGTACGACAACGGCACATGTCAAGTGATCCACAACGGAAAATTCAGCGAGGCGTTTGCAGTAAACACAGGAGTCAGACAAGGGTGCTTATTATCACCAATGATATTCCTAATTGTGGTCGACTGGATAGTGGGAAACGAGAAGACAGGGATATCCTGGACCGACGTGAACAATCTAGAAAACCTGGATTTCGCGCGTGGATGATTTATGTTTGATGTCACACAAAATCGAAGACTTACAAGCGAAAACCGACAAACTGGTCGAAGAAGCAGCAAAGACAGGACTCCAGGTGAGCATAGACAAGACGGACGTTATGAAAATAACCAACCAACAATAACAACAGCAACATCCGGCGCCAATCACCATCAACGGGAGGGATTTGAAAGAGGTTACTTCATTCACTTATCTAGGGAGCATTGTCTCAACTACAGGAGGAACGGAGGACGAGGATGTCAAATCGAGAATCAGGAAGGCGAGAAACACATTCATCAACCTGAAACCAATCTGGAAATCTTCGTCACTCAACCCAGCCAGCATCAACAACAAAATTCGGATTTTCAATACAAACGTCAAGTCAGTCAGTTCTTCTATACGGACCAGAAACTTGGCGGGTCACAAAGAATATTTCCAACAGCCTGTTGCAGACCTTTATCAACAACTGTCTTCGCTCTATACTGAAGATCAGATGTCCGGAAAGAATCACCAACAAGAAACTATGGGAACAAACGAAACAAGAACCAATGGCCCCACAAATATGTAGGAGAAAGTGGAGATGGATTGGACACTCGCTGAGGAGGCCGCTGGGTGACATTGTGCATCAGGCTCTAGAGTGGAACTCGAAAGGGAAGCGGCGAGTGGGACGTCCAAGGGTGACATGGAGGAGATCGTGTGAAGAATAGCTGAAACAGTGTGGATTAACACGGATGCAGATGAAAAGTACAGGAGAAGACAGAAGCAAGTGGATACGTGTGGTTGAAGCCCTGTGTTCTACTAGGAACCCAAGGGAACCATAATAATAATATTTAAAATGTATTATATACTCGTATTAACTCAGTGGTATTACAGCTGTTAGATTTCGTCATGAACTGACAGTAGGTATAGAGGTCACTGAGAACCAGGAGGCGTTAGGCGGCTGTCTCCTCCTATTTTGGGATTCGTCAGCAGTGAACATTCACGACCCTACTAGGGATCGAACCCGCCATGAAGTCTAACAACTGAGAATATAATTAATCCAAAAGCATACAAATCTCATAAGTCAAGTTATCAATGATATTAGTTTGTTATTCTGTTCATTATAATAAAGGTTTTTTGTAATTTCGAATCAATAAAAAACAAAACGACATTGTTGTTTTTACTGACGTTTCGCTATTTGATCCTGCTGCTAATAGCTTTATCAGTGTAGTATTATTAAACCACAATTTACAAAATCTATCTCAGCTACATTATATAACAACTTAATCATCGTTCATAAGCTTGCGGTCATTTTTGCGTTGTCAAGCTGGCCAACCGATAAAGGCAACAAAACCAGGTGCAGATTGTTGGATTTGATAAGTGTGTAGAATTATAAAAGCAGCGTGTGTTTACACAATGAAATAGCTTATCACATCGTGTTGATTTGGTCATTTCATGGGGGAGGGTGGGGGTGTTGTAACCAGGTCAAATTCTGTTTTAGTCCATCATTCCTATTCACCGGACAATTTAGATTTCGGTTGATATGAAGTGGTTCTGATGGTATTAGACGTTCTTTGTGATTTCCGAAACTTTTCTGGATTATTTCAGTATTGTCAAAATCAATTTTGTGACCTGATTCTACAGCGTAGCGTGTAGACGACCTATGGCTAATAATTTTTCAAGCTTTTCTAGTTCACTAACTGGATTTCTCGGTGGTCGAACAAATACTCTACGGTCTTTATTTCCTCTCATTGCATTGATTTCTCTCTGGTGAGGTTTGTCCGATGTATATCGCATCACATTGCAAGCATTTTATTTTATACACACAATTCAAGTGAGAATCCTTAGGGATTCGGTCTTGTACACGGATAAGGTTGCTTTGTAGTGTGTTTGGTGTTTCGAAGAAAACTCTAATGCTGTGCTTATTCAGTACTCCTCTTCTGATATCGTCTGACGTCTCTGCTCTATATGGAATGACAACTGTTGAGACCCATGTTTTCGGAATACGTTTTTGACCATGCTTAATGTCAGTATTGATTTTGTTCTTTGGGTAGTTATGTTGCTTGAGAGTCTCAGTAATGTTTGATATTTCTTCTTTTTCTTTCTCATCCGTTATCAGAGTGTGCTCATCCCAGAAGACTGATACCTTTGCGCTGATGGGGTGTGATGATCCGAATTCTTAATTTCACATACCCAATGCCCAAATTTTTTCGAACTGCTAAGAGTGAACTTGGTTTGGATATTTATAATTTTCTTTCATGTTTTTTAAAAGACTGAATAGTGAACAAAGAGTATTCTTCTCGATAACTTCTTCATCAGATCTTACAGTTATGTGACCATGATTATTGTTATTAACAAGATTAAAGTTTCAAGTAACGTTGAGTCAATAATATGAATAGAATTCAACTGGAAAGTATCTATTAGTGATAATATATGCATGCATGCATTATTATTATATGATTGTTTCCTTTAGTTCCTAGAGGAACATAGGGCTTCAGCCGAACACGTCTCCACCTGGCACCACTTCTGCCCACATGTTTTCATCTCCTCTTCACATTACCTCCTCCTCCTCCTCCTCCATGTCACCCTTCCACTGACGACCAACTCGCCGCTCTCCATTAGGGTTTCACTAGAACGATGGCCTGGAATGTGATGCCACTTGATGGTTTTCTCAGAATATGGCCAATTAACCTCCATTTCTTCCTGCAGGTTTGTTGCACAATCGGTTCCTGCTGAGTTGGTTCGTTCGCTTCCAGAGATCCTTCCCTATTGGTGATCTTTTCTGGCCGGCCATTTGATCTTGAGTACTGAGCGAAGACAGCTGTTGATGAAAGTCTCTAGTTTGTTCGAAATACCATTCGTGACTCGCCAATTCTCTGATTCGTATAATAGCACTGACTTCCTATTGGAGTTGAAAATCCGGATCTTATTTTTCATTCTGAGTGCTGTTGATCCCCATACAGACTTGAGGGTAATGAAAGATTACCTTGCTTTCCCTATTCTCACTTTGA